GTATTCTGCGGACTTAAAGTCCTTTAATTGAATTTATTTCCGGCTCCTTTGGCTAGCCGGCATTCTTCCAATCACATAACCAATCGCACCTATGTTTTTCATAAGATGGATACCTTTATTCCATGCAGGATATTGGAGAAATCCGTCACTACGTCAGAATACTTTTTTAAAAAAATTTTTTGAACATATATACAAAATATGGACTTGGATTAGTCCATGTTCATATTTTGTCCATGTCCAGATAAATTTTTATTGGGCACTGGTTAATATTGATTGAACTGATTAACTATAATTATTATTATTGAGCAATTTTAATTTAATTACCGTTACGGATTACCGATTGATAGCCCCGATCTCTATCGGATTAATTACGTAACCTCAAGTGCACAAGTTATTACCATAACCGATTGTATTATTTACTTTATTTTATTATTATGTACCGGTACAGTATTACGATTTTGATATATGCGCTATATAAGTTCATTTCAAGTTAAATGAAAGGTCATTACGATATTTTTTTAGATCATTTTAACAACACTACTTTGTGTAGGGTTGAGAGTTAAAGTTCGTTAATAAAATCGCATTCTTGATATGTTCCAAAGAAAGCATTCTTATATTAGACTGGCGGTTACTACGTATTCATTTTTCTAGTATTATTTTGTAATTTATGATTGGGCGTATTACATGATAAACGGAATACATTATACGTATTTGAAAATCATGTATAAATCAACATTTTTGCGGTTCCCAAATGGCAAAATGGGACAAATGTAGTCTTTAAGCGTCGTGTGAGGTACACATATTTTCAGGAGCAAATAGCATGCATTTAATCATATGAAGCATTTAATCATACGTACGAAGAATTTAAAATGTGAAGCATTTAATCACATGAAGAACTCTTTAGAATATAGTTTATCATATTTATTTGCGAACTTTGTTTGAACAATGGTGTTTGCTCGTGAAAAAGTCATGTAATGAAAAAACTTTGATATACAATATAAAATTGTTCTAAGATTAATTTATGAAGAAGAAATAACTCGTTATAATCACTCTTAATATATATAGTCACAACCTTGATATAGTTCCAATTTTTTTTATTACAGCATTATAAACATAAGTTTTAACTTAACATATAACCATAACTTCTTAAATTACCGGAGAATATTTATAATTAAAAAAAAAACAATGTAACAGAAAGAGTATGTTCATAGTGAAATAACGTTCTTATAAAAGTATATATATAATAAAAAAAAATAAATAAAAATTTCTTTATGGAATATAAAAATGTTCGTGAAGTAAGTAATTGTAATAAAAACAAAATGTGTGTAACGAATATGTAGAAAGAAAAATGATATATAACAAAAAAAAAATTAAAAAGGAAATATATATCAGGTGACATATTTTTGTGATATCTTGAGATAGACCAATGATTGAAGGATCATTGGTTCTTCGTGACAAGATAAGTTAACATTGAGGAAGTAGAAACATTGAGAAAGTAGAAATAATGACTGTATGAATGTTGATTCCAATTAAATATGTTTTGTATCAATTCATCGTGGATAATGAGAAGGGTTAGTCAATAAATATATCTCGTAATGGGTTAATGTAGTAATGATATAAGATACGGAATTAAAAAATCATTTGAATAATTAAGAACAAAGAATTAGTTAATGAAAGAAGATGATGTGATATTTTGTCCGTTATTTGACACTTGCTCATCGTGAATAAAAGGGGATGATGATAATGAGGAGGATTGATGAGTGGACGTATTTTGGAATGCATCGGCAGTTCCATAAGGGGTAATGTTGAAAGTAGTAGTAATGCCATTATTATGAGAATGTTGAGTTTCGAAAAAGGAGGAATCGTTTGAACAACCAGTAGAAAAAGAATTAAAGGATGATGTGATATATGGTTCGTTATTTGGCTCTTGTTCATCGTGAATGAAAGAGGAAGAAGACGATGACAATGAGGGAGATTTATTAATGGATGTGTTTTGGAATGTTTCGGTAATCTCAAAAGGGTTAATGTTGAGAGAAGTATTCATAACATTATTATAAGGGAGTGAAATTCCAACGGAATCGCTTAAATAACTTGAAAATGAATTTTGTTCGTTATAAGAATGTGGAGCTTCGAAATAATAACTAGTGGAAAAAGAATTAGGAAAAAATGTGATATTTCGTTCGTGGTTTGGCATTGATTCATCGTGAACGAAAGAGTAATATGATGAGGGAGATTGATTAACAAATGTATTTTGAAATATTTCGGTAGCTCCATAAGAGTTAATATTGGGATAAGGTTGGAAATTGGTAGACCTAGATCTAAGTCCGCGTGGCTTTGGTCCACGTTTGTTCCCTGGAACGGGAATACAATCACGGTTGTGCTTTTCACAATTTGTGCAAATTTGTCCCTCAGAAAGTCTTAAACATCTTTCGTGTCTCTTTTTACAAGTCATACATGCCGAAGTCGCATTAGTACGAGTACGTGGCATGATTTAAAATATCTTTGGGTATAAAAACAAAGGTCAAATACTACAATGACGGCGGTAGATTTTTACAATGCTCGCAAAGATATATAAAAAAAGAAGGTAAAAAATTTGGGGGAAAAAAAAGCTAAAGCTTTGAAGGAATTAAAGTCTGAATGCAAAGATTTATATAAGAATTTTTCTTGTATCGATCCATTGAATTATTATTTAATATAGTATATATTATATATATTGTAAAATGTATAAATGCGTCAACTAATACTCAACTAATCAACTCAACTCATCAACTCATCAACTCAACTCATCGACAACTATCAACTCAACTAATTGACTACTCAACTAATCAACTCAACTAATTGACCAGTTCGATTAATGTTAGTTGTCGCTCATGTATAAATATGGCAAAATATAACAAAATTCTACGTATACAATTAGTGCCAAATTATTTGTGAGTGTTAAAATTACAGCTACCGTTACACATTCAACCTGTACAAATATACAAAGCTCAATCATGTGTCAATTCATTTTTGCTGATTGCTATTTGTTTATTATACGGACAATTTTCCGAAAGCAAGAAAAGAATGCCACCTAAATCAGCCTTATTATAACTAATACCGGATAAATTTTGTCCTTTCCGGAATAATGAATAATACACATCAAAAACTTTAGATTACATATCGCTATTGTCATAATCAAACTCATTAACGTTAAAAGCTCTATGTTCGATTATTTTCGAATGTGAACTACAAAAAAATTCTTGTCGGCACTGACTAGATTTACTAGATTAGATAATTCTTAAACAACCCTCCCTCAGATTTATTATTTATTATTTTTACAGAACATACATACATAATGATCAGACTTGATGCATTAAAAAATGGTAAATTTGATTTTTTTTTTTTTTAATACAATGTGTATGAGATCAAGGTGCTAGCTAACTTGCTTTAGGCAAAATTTCATGAGCACGTTTTGTATATCAATTAAACTAGCATTAAATGCGTATAACTTAAAAGGAATAAACTAAATCTTGTACACCGACCCACCCAGTATAGGTATTAAGTAAAGTAGTAGTACAAATTCGGACAGACATACGAAAATTATACTAAATTTTGATAGTACGTAAAATTCAATTTTTATAATTATCCATTTTTAATGGTTGTATCGTCACCAAAAATCATGTCCGTACGTACGTATACAGTTCTTAAATTTATTTACTGATGCTGTATTTAATAATATGGAATCTGGGTCTCAGGCCCGGGCGTTGCTCCGGGTTTAAAATCTTAGTTATTTTATAGTATAAATTTTATTTTATTTTTTTTTAATTTGGCAATCCTGCCTCTGTTTATTTAGAACCAACTATTTATCAGATTACACATTGTAATTTCTATCTATAGTTATAAAATTCTCACCAAACAAGAGACTCATCCAGTTTTTTTTCAAATGCAACTTGCCTTAGTAGTTCTTGGTCTTCCTTCAGGTTTTTAACTTATTAAGAATTTTTTTCTTTTGGTCAACAGCTAGTAGTTACATATCTTATTAGAATTACCTAATTATATTTATAATTTACAATGTAATTACACTTTGTTTAAAGTAAGTACTTGTGAATATTACAAAACACCAAATCACTAATTTTTTAATAAGATTATTATGTTGTATATAATCTATTTTTTTAATTTATTGATTTTACATGGCTGCTTTTCTTAGGTTTTGTATAATTTATATATCATATTATAGTTCTACAACCTCTCAGTACTAGCTGGTATAACCATATTACAAATACAGACCTAATGAGATACATTTGTTACAAGTAGACTGTAGCCTTCTTAATACAGCACAAATAACAAAATATACAGCTACAGAGATCTGTTGTTTTTTTTTTTGAATATTAATGGTGAGACCATGTCTCTGTCTTTATTGAAATTTAATTAAAATCTTTTATACAG